GTACGATGAAGGAAATCGGAGACGATTCGATGGAACGCGGACGAAAAAGCGGATTCGGAACAGACCACGGTCCAAGAGTAACTGAATAAGGCCAACAAACGGCGACCATCAGCTGGTTTCCCGATTACTCGACCCCCCTCTACGGCTCCGTGAACCCACATGTGCCGACCATATGGGGGGAAAAATGGTCGAGGAGGGCTCGACAGACAACCGGGGTACCCACCTCTTTCGTTTGCACCCTCGTGTCGCTACTTCCGTTCTTAACTCGCGTGCCAATGATTTCCCTCCTTACCATTTATCCATTTGAAATTTTTCATCGACAAAATTTTTAATGTTCAAGCAGAGATTTTCATTAGTATCTTGGAGTTTCTTGAAAACCTAAAACGGTAAATTGATTTAGTGAAGGGTAAATAGATGATTATATGAATTAGTATATAGCTAATTAGAGACTTTAATAAGTACTCCAGAGATTTTTCAGAATGTAAGAAGAATAAAATAATTCAAGGAAAATGCAGAGATTTTCCATTTATTTGTAATTTTATAATAGAATTAACCAGAGATTTTAATAAATATTCCAGAGATTTTTCAGAACCTAAAACAAAAAATAAAATAATTCAGTAAAAATACAAAGAAAAATTGATAGAGATTTTCAATAGACAAATAAATTTTTCATTTATCTTTAATTCTATAATGGAACTAACCAGAGACTTCAATAAATATTCCAGAGATTTTTCAAAACCTACAAAAAAAATAAAATAATTCAGTAAAAATACAAAGAAAAATTGATAGAGTTAAATAAATTTTCCATTTATATATAATGAGGGATGCTTTCTCTATTAAGATGAAACAATGGAGATTGGTAGTGAAAATGGATCTATTTAGTCTGAAGCATTCCACGATGTCCAGGGTATTGTAATGGGGTTCTCCTAGCCCGTTGTGAAACGCGTAGGGAATCAAGTGAATTGGCTGAATTGCCACGTCCGAGAATCGTAGCACGTCGATGCAGTCGCGAGATAGAATCACTCGAATTACAATGTACAATGGTTCGGACAGGAACACGTTGATGTTTCCATGCACAATAAGCCCGGATCGTCAGGGATCCAACTGCCACCATGGTCACTCTCCAAAATTAATTCTCTCGTCCTCTTCTTTTTGAGAATATATTGGCTAATTTATAAAAGCTTTTGTTTCCATTCATTTATTTATATAATTTGATGAAGATCCTGTGAAATAATAGGAAAGTGTTAATATGAAATGGTAACTTTCTTTTTATTTATAGGCTTGCATATGTTTGTATGAATTACGAGGCCACAGAAAAAGCTATTTTTACCTTAGAGAAAAAGTTTCCTTAAGCTAAAACGTTGGAACACAAAGCACGATGTATAGACCGACAATAAAAGTCTGGCGAGCGTAACTATGAAAGTGAAAAGTTTCGTGCACCGACAGATGGCTGCAATATGTGCAACGAGTTGCAAGATATTAAAAAAAGTTGAGAATTCACCGTGTAAATTATTGCCCGTGCAATGGAACGAATTCTTCATCGTGTTTTCATGTTTCTTATTTCAGAACACTTTCGTCGTAAATCTTTTTTTGATTATTAAAATTGTCCCATGATTTCATGACATAAAAGTATGTTCAAATACCACTTGTGATATATTAAATTAAAGCTTAAAGTTTGAAGAAAATTACTATATAAATGATTCGTTAGTATTCTTAATACAAGATGAGTAATCGTGGATCGCAACGAACAATGTACTTGTACTGTATCCAATTTCGAAACCTAAGAAGTCTAGGGTGATTTCATGACAGAAAAGTGTCACGAAATGGCACTTGTGATATATCAAATTAAAGCTTAGAATCTCAAGAATATAATTGCATAAATGCTTCGTCGATTTTTTTACAACAAAATGGCTGGTCCTTCATTGAAACAAAGGATCAATCAATGTATAGGTCTATTAATAATTATCCAATTTTCAATTGCTTATGGTTTAAAAAAATAAAGGAACTTTATACAGTTATTTTGTACAAACTTCAAGCTTTAAATTGATATATGGTAAGTGCTAATTGAAGATACTTTTATGTCATGAAATTATCGATGAACCTCTAATTAGAGATTAACGAAATAACGGTTTGTTATTAAAGTTGATCTTTCCTAAAATCCATCGACCATCAAAAATATCGATCGTTAGGGTCAGAAAATTGATTTCACTGGAAATCATCGAATCCCCCAGCTGCGCCTATTCTTTAATGGCCAATCGGCGCGTGCAGTATAAAGGCACACGACACCGCTCTTACAGCTGCCGGAAGTATACATCTGCCGGCTTCTACTAACCGTACCGTGCAGTTTGGCCCACCTTTCCATCACAACACACACACACACACATGTGTCCATTTTTCACAATCATTTCGCAATTAAATCCACTCTGTACAACGTCATTCCATCAAACTTCCTTGCAACTTCATAGACCCAACGATTCTGAAAAATAGATATAAATGAATTGCTATTAAAAATAATAGAGAAACGACTGAAAGAAAGAAAAAATGGACCTCGTTTCGGAAAATCAGAAACATCTGCCAGGAAACAGTGATCCTTGATTAGGGCCAGGCTCGTGCTGAACACCTTGGCTCCTCCAGGTTGAAACGGTGAAAGGCACTCGAATTTCGAACAAAGGAGGATCTTTTCACGGTTCAAACACCTATAATTTCCAAAGTAATGTTTACCAAATTAGAATTGTAATTTATGAATAATTTGCTGGACATCGTGGGAGATAATTGTGCGCGCGATTAAATTGGATGGAGGGGAATATCAACATACGTTACTATCCTGTCGATCTTGAGGAGGATGCAACCGGTTCGCTGAGTTTAATTAACGCATTACAAGAATCGATCAGCCTTCGAAATTTCAAGTAAACGTTCTTATCTGAATCCGACACGGTATAAAAATTGATCCCCGACAGCAACGCTTTCGTTCGCCACTTTTTCTTCCTGCTCCATTAAACGGTTCGTTTGACGATCCTTCGATCGTTCTTTATCTCGTTAGCAAAAAATAATGTCATCCCCCTCGGAGAAGAGATATCTGACCCGTTGATCCCGAGCATCTGCGGGACACTTAACACCATGAGGCGTTGATAAAAAAAAAGGAAGCAGAGGAATCTGGATCCCAGGAATATTCGTGTCTCGATTTTCCGATCGACCTGGCCGGGGGAATTTCGAGTGGTCGAAAAATATCCGAGACCGCTCAACCCTTTTTCGTATTCTCACCCCCGCAGCTGACGAGCGCGGGATACCACCTGACGGTTACCCAGAAACAGCTGTTCCCTCCCCTTACGGCCACCCTCGTCTTCTCCCCGAAAAATCGAAACGATTCCTTCGACTCGGTAGGAGAAATTACGAGCACCCAACGGTAGGGTGATCGGAGATCACCTTGGAGAAGTTAATGAAGTTTGGAGGAAGATTATAGATCGTTAGGGTAATTTGCAAATTTTCAAGTTGGATCATTAGAGAATAATTATTTGAAGAATAATTTTAGAAAATGAAAGTGATATGAAATATGTAATTAAATTGAAATTGGGGCGCTCTCCATGGTCCGCCGTCTTGGGGATCTCTCCATGGTCCGCCATCAGAGGGTGAATTAAAAATCGCTACTCCAATTAACAAAATGTCTTTAATCCAGAAAGTTGGCGATATTTAAACAAAGAAATCCAGTTGATAGAATGTAATGATCTATTTCCCATCGGACCAGAGTCCTGAATAAGGAATCTAGTCCTTGGGATCGGAATAGCCGACAAAAGTAACCGAACGCTAATTGCCTGGGATCATTATCGTTCAACTAGATCCTTTCACGCGAAAGATGGTCGCGAATGATTCCGGTTGCTGTAAGAAAGCATAGATTCCCTTGGTAACAGCAGCCTCGACTTATTTTCGCCGGACGAACGTCGAAGAAGACAACAAAAGTACCTCGACGGAGCAGATGCATGGCATGTGCTACGAACCCGACACCAGATGCCCCATTGGCGTAGAGATCCCCGTGGCAAGCAACCACGATAAACCTGCCCATGGGATTCTTTTCAAGCTGGTCGCGTGCCAGATAGAACCTTTCCTATGGGTTCACCGGCGACCCATCGAGATTCATCCTCCTTTCCATCCCCTTCTACTTCCGTGGATTTGGAGTGGTCAAAATGGATCAGAATTTGAACAGGATTGGAAGTGTGTGAAATCTGGAAATGTAATGATTATTCTTAATTAATGTCTCTGTTATAACTTGCATTAGATTATTATTAGATTCTAAACATCAGTACCTAATGGTCGAGGTGGATCCAAGTTTCAAAAGGAAGGGAAGTGTCTGTGATCTAGAATTGGAATGATTATTTTTAATTAATATTTCAAATGTAATTTGCATTAGATTATTATTAGATTCCATACATCAGTACCTAATGGTCAAGGTGGATCCAAGTTTCAAAAGGAAGGGAAGTATCTGTGATCTAGAATTGGAGTAATTATTTTTAATTAATATTTCAAATGTAATTTGCATTAGATTATTATTAGATTCCAAACATCAGTACCTAATGGTCAAGGTGGATCCAAGTTTCAAAAGGAAGGGAAGTATCTGTGATCTGGAATTGGAATGATTATTTTTAATTAATATTTCAAATGTAATTTGCATTAGATTATTATTAGATTCCATACATCAGTACCTAATGGTCAAGGTGGATCCAAGTTTCAAAAGGAAGGGAAGTATCTGTGATCTGGAATTGGAATGATTATTTTTAATTAATATTTCAAATGTAATTTGCATTAGATTATTATTAGATTCCATACCTCAGTATCTAATAGTCAAGGAGGATCCCAATTTTCGAAAGGAAAGGAAGCATATGAAATCTGGAAATGGAATAATTATTCTTAATTAATATCTCAATTATAATTTTCATTAGATTATTATTAGGAATTAATCCTCCTCCTAAGGAAGGATCACAAGAAGGTTGAAACAAAACACGAAATAATTAATTAACTTAGCGTTCGTTTATTTTACTGGTCAATGTTATCTACAATGATTTATTGTAAAAGTAACAATAGTCGTGTATAAGTTAAAACGATATATCATACATATGTACAAACGATGCGTCTAATCATCGACCATCTCCACGTCCCTTTTGATTGGTTCTAAAGAACATCATACGACTCGAAATATTCGTGACCACAGAATTAACTTGGATTTTTTGAAAACGAGTGATTCACGATCAAGGAAATATCGATCTAAAATCACTCGTGACGATTCGTCGAACACCTTGTCTACCAAAAACCAAGGTGATCTCATTCACTTTAGAAGAAAATATTTTTCATCCAAAATATTTTTGGATCCAAATTTATCGTATACAATTTACCATCTTTGAATTTTATCAAACGTTGCATCCCATCGTTCAGTTTCTTTTTCAAACTTTTTATATTTAATTCACTTTAGAATATGGAAAAGGTGGGTGGAATTGAATTGAAACGGAGGCACTTGGCGTTGGTGAAATTTATATAAATTTAGGAATATTGGATGAGATGCTACGTTTAAACAATTTATGCAAATTAATCCTCGAACGGCGGACCAACTTTAATTCTAGAATTTTATTTCTATTTCAATTATTCAAATTTTAAATATTTCTTTTTCGTTAGCTCGGGTTACAATCAACCCTCCGCCATTCGACGATTAATATATTTCATTAACTTCCCTAATTTTTTGTTCGTGATTGTTCTTACGACAAAATAGCCTAAGAATATTTTCTTTTTGATTTCGACGGACGTCTCTTCGCACTTTCCTCGCTGTTCAACCCACTGACTCTGAAAAAACCTGACCGAAAATATTTGGAAACACGAAACAGCTAAATTGAATTTCTCACCCCCCCTTCAGAGAGTTGAACCGCATCGGAATATAAAATCTTGCAGAATTTGTCAAAAACACACTCCACGATGAAAATTGAAAATTCTTCTTCGTTCATATCGATCCAGCGTATGAACTTTTTCTCTCTCTCTGTTATTGACATCGTTTATTGACATTCGTTTCTCGTCGAGTGAATCTAACGTCGAATGGATTGAAAGCATGTCAGAAGAGAGAATTTTCGCGTGTATCTTAATCCTAAGTCGTTACAAATACAATAAATAATGCGTGTAATTAAAAAGAGAAAAAAAGAAAGAGAGACGATAATCTTAACAACTAATGGCGATATATAAAAAAAAGAAGGTATAAAAAAAGTATAAAACTGAAGATTTTCATTTTGATTTCAATCGTTCCACCCTTGAAACTTGAAAATATTTAAACAAGAAATTTTCTTGGAAATTTAAATGTTGTACTTTTGAAATGGAAAAGAGAAAACGTCCCAAGGGAAGTGACGTTCTCTTAATGAAAAGTTATATTTAAGGGTGGCTTGGTACGAAAGCGCAACCCTACGGAGTGGCTGAAGTTATGGTGAAGTTCGAATTCACTTGACGAGCACAGTCTCACGGTTGAGAACGTATGAAAGCGCGTCGTTTGCTTGACAAACACACGGTGAATGCATTTTTATCTGAATGGAAAGAGAGATTCTTTCCACTTTATCGTGGCAGGAACTTCTGCTCGGGCAAGATTGTCGTTCTGGATGATCCTGATGACTCGAGGTGATTGAAAAAGCGAATGTGGGACAAGCTATTGAAATCCATGTACATAATGTACCCTCTTAGAAGAATCATCAGTATGGGGTAGGTGAAACTTTAACCCTTTACACTTGTACACCTATTCTGTAGTGGGAATTTAAATTAATTGAAAATTCAAAATTATGTATTTCTAATGATGGTTCATTTCAAATGGTATATTTCAATTGACTCTTCTTGTAAAATATCTTAAAATCATTTCAAAATTGATATTAGTAATTTGGAGAGATTGAAGAGCTTCCAAAATTAATATGAGTGATTTGGAAAGGGTTAAAAGTGATCCTACTCATCCAGATTGAAAGGATTCCAAAATTAATATGACTAACTCGAAAAGGATTAAAAGTGATCCTACTCATCCAGATTGGAAAGCTTTCAAAATTAATAGGAGTAATTTGTAAAGATTTAAAAGTGCTCCTATTTGTCTAGATTAAAAATCTTCCAAAATTAATATGAGTAATTTGAAAAGGATTAAAAGTGTTCCTATTCATCCTGATTGAAAATCTTCCAAAATTAATATAAATAATTTAGAAAGGCTTGAAAGTGTTCCTACTCATCCAGATTGAAAATCTTCCAAAATTAATATAAATAATTTAGAAAGGATTGAAAGTGTTCCTACTCATCCAGAAGTAACTCTTCGATTCTTGTTAACAAGTAGAATGATAGATACCTGTTAATGATTCTTTCACCTTAACGAATCAGAGAAGTATATCCACAAAAGAGCATCCGCTTACAAAGGATATCGTAACAGGTGGCCAGCTTTCCAAGAGCAGAGATTTCGCCAGCTCCTCGCCCACATTCACCGCGTTCAATCCCCAAAGTAGAAACCGGAAACACCCTCTCTCTTGAATCGATTCCTTCTCGCGATTGCCCTCGCCTCGAAAGCATCCCTCGGTGAAAGTCAACCAGGCTTGCTTTTAAAAAAATACCGTCTCTCGCCCTTCGATAAGATCCGAAATTCGTTTACGCGGTGTACTGAGCGAATAAGGCTCGTTCCCTCTGCAACTCCAGATGGCTCTTCATGGCCACCACCGTGGGATGATGAGGATGTAGACCTTCGTCTTCGACCAGATATCTAAGAGCTTCCGTTGCGCATGCATCCCAACCAGCGTTCCAAGATCCTGATACTTGATGGCTACCACCTTCTGCCTGCTGATTCATCCTTGAACAAGGATTCACCCACTGATGGGAATCTAAAAACCCATGATCCTTGGATAGGAAACGAGAAGAGCCTTGTTTCTGGCACTTGTCAGGCAAACTCTCGCGATAACAGCTGGTCGATTTGAAATTTTGTTCCTGAAGGCAAGCACGGTCCAGGTAACCGGTCTCTGTGTGCTCCTTAGAGTCCTTGAAGGAACTTCTACCAAGGATCCTAGTCGACGTTTGTTTCTGATGAGATTGTTGCTTTAATTCCTTGGCTAATGAAGCGACCAGTTGATGCAATAACCTGGTGTTCTCTTCCTCTTCTTCTTCTTCGTCTTCTAAATCGTCCAGCTCCACACCCTCGTCCTCGGAGGACGACATCAGGTCCTCGTCTTCGTCCACCCCCAATAACGTCAGCAACCTCTCCGCAGCATCTATATAAAAGGAAGAAATTAATATTTACTGAAATGTAAATACTTGGAGTATCATTTGTAATATTTATCAAAGCTATGTATATTTTCCCTACAAAGGATACGTCCAGTTTTCTATCACTAAACGAGTATGAAAGGATATGAAACGATGATGAGACGGAAAGACTAACCAGTGTCCGATAAATCGGGACCACCAGGGACTCTGGAAAGAATCAAAGAGAGGATATCGTCGACCGGAATTTCATTTCGACTCGGTGGCCCGGTTTCGCGGCTCTCCTGTGGGAATCGTGCACCATGAACCTCCCATGGGAACTACCTGTCGCTACCCACCCCATCATCCGTCCTGCGAATCATCGAATTTCGCACGAGCCTCTCTTCTTTTTTTTTCTCTCTTTTCTTTCATCCTCTCCGTTGTGGCGCGGAACTAGTGTGTACATGTATGTACACGCACCCCTTGTGAGAACCCCTCGGTGAAGGGACGTCAGGTAGGGCCAGTTCGTGCTTACCTGTTCCTGGGAACCTAGCGGATATCATCCGTGCAGAGGGTGTTCAATTAACGAATATTTTATGAGAAGATATTTTTCAGGGAATCGACCGATGTTTGCTTTGAGGGGGGGGGGGCATCGATCGAGGCAGACGGAACGATACTTTGGGAAACGATGGGTGAAATTTTTGGTGGAATAAAGGAAACTGAAAGGGAATATGTTATAGTGTGAGAAAAGGGTCGCTGGAGAAATATTCGCTCCCGGATGGCGGACCATGGAGAGAGGCCGGATCTTAACCGATCTCGGTTAGTTTTATTTTGTATGTTTTACGCTGGTATTTTAAAATCATTCCAACATTTTGTGAGAGACCAAGGACGATTTAGAGATTGTTTTCGAATAAACAGAGGCGGAGATTGAACGAGGAAGTACCTTCTATGAATTATGTAACACGTTGCCGCCGCGAGAGTAGACGGAAAGCAAAATTTGCGTTTCTCTTATGGAAATTGCGTTTGTATAAATAGACCGTATTTTCCTAAGCAATTGAGTATACGATTGTTGATAAACGACGTTTCGCCAGCGGACAAGTTTCAAGGAAATTCAAATAAAAATTAGAAAATTAGAAATTCTACGATTTTTCAATTTCAATCCATGGAGTAAACGAGTTTCGATTAAGATCTTGATTTGCATAAAGTTGAAAAGGAAACCGACGAGAGCGACCAGATTATGTCCATCTCACGAACCAGACGATTTTTTTCTCCCTCGATAGGACTGTTTTTTTTCAGAAGCCTTACACATTAGCCGCTTCCTTTTTTTTCTCTCTCTTTTCGTTCCATTGACACCAGAATAAAGTCTGGACCAGTCATGAACGACTTCATTGTTTTTTTCCCACGTGAGGACAACCCCCCAGGACGTGGACGCCGGACGTTCCCACAGGGATACCTAGATTTAAATGTCTCTTTTCTATGCTCCCTTAGGACGAGGAGAAGCTGGATTGAGTTAGGTTAGTCAACGATTTAAAGGCCTCGAAGGGTAACCCATGTGTCTATCGAAAAAAGAAACTCTCTAGGAAACAATTTGCAATTATTTTAAAAGCTAAAAGAAATATGAAACTTGGGTACACGTTCACAAAAAATATACAAGGACATTATTTTACAATTAAATATATAATTTTTAAATAAAAGAAAACAATATGAGGTATGAAATTAAATTGAAATTGAGGCTCTCTCCATGGTCCGCCGCGCGGTATTGGGACTCTCTCCATGGTCCGTCGTTCGAAAATTAAAAAACGCATCATATTATGTTTCTTATTCGTTTACATTACCCTGTTTCGTTTTATTCGAATGCAATCTCTTAAAGAAAAGTTTCACGAATAATGTTCTCCCATCGAATCGTGAAGAAGTCCAAAAGAGAAATAAACTTGGACATTCTCGCAAGTTTACGAAAGATAACGCGAAGATCGTTGAAATAAATCGTCGAAAAAATCAGTGAACCCATCGAAAATGGAAGAACCATGGAGATGGGGCTCGGGATGGAATAAGGCTGTTTGGTCTCGAGGAAATTTATTGATCGTAAATCGCGACAAATTCGATGGAAACGTACGATTTGCCCTTTCTATTATTCAACGGGACAGCGTGTGGCAGGGATGAAATTGCTTATGTCCCGAACTTTTCGTCGGAAGATTGAAATTCTCGCGAAGACGTCCGTTTGTCCGCATTAGCATATAAAATTCATATCTCAGAAAATGGGGTCAGTGAATTCGAACTGCGTTAAGGGAAAAGTTATTTTCCAAGGGCGTGGCGTACAAGCTCGTGATTAATGGTAACGAGCCGCGGAACTTTAATGAATCTTATAAATGGAGTTTGAAACAGTCCTGCGACACGCTCGTTATCTGTGCGCCCTACCGATACACAGGGGGTCGGTTTAATTATCGCCAACATCCGGTTAAAAAAATTGCACCAATTCAAAAATTTCTTCCACCGTTATTTAAAATTTGCGATCTAAATAGAAAAATATTTCCATGAAAAAATTAGAACATTCGTTCATTGAAATTCCCAGGGAAATCGAAGAGGGGCGGAAAAGGTAACCCACCGAAGAGACACGACCCTTTACGACGGGTACAATAAAAATTTCCTTGGATTTCTGCGGATCCCAGGGAAGCAGGTATACTCCCAAAAGGGCAATATTTCGAAGGAGCAACAGAATTTCCCATATTTCCAGGGAAACTCGATTATCCCTGTTTTCGGTGACCCTCTTCTCGACCTCTTATTCGGTACTCGAGAACAGTCGATGAAACGGACGTTCCTCGTTCGGATCGTCGTGAAAAGGCGTAAAGAAAATTCTCTTCAGTGTACGAAATGGCCCGTGATCAATGGTAATTACCATCGATGACTTCGCGACAAAATATGCCACGGTTCGACACCTTGTAATCAAGCGACTCTTTTGAATCGTTCCTAATTACCAGTTTCCCGTGTCTTTCGCCTCTTAATGGTAATTCCACTAAATTACTGGGCCAATTTTTCGTTACGCGATACTTTAAACTGTATCGATTAACGTTCACCTCGATCTGCTCCTTACACTCTGGAATTTATTATATTATTAAAAATTACAAGTTACAAATATTTCTTTTCCAATTGTGTCCTCTGGAAATATTTTCTTCTATAGGTTTGATAGGAAACATTTTAATGAGACATTTTATAATTCGTTAGAATGAAAGAGAGTGACGCTTTCTTGCGGGTGTAAATAATTATTCCATCCCGGGGATATTAGAGAGAAAATATTCCAGCTTTTGTACCGGTCCCAGTAATTGCATTCCTTCCAATTTCCCTCCCCGCAAGCCGACGTTTATTTAGCTTAACAATTTCCCAGAAGCAACCCCCATTCGCCCTCCTCCCTATCAACGATATTATTCTGTCTCGTTACACGTCCACTAACCCCCCTCTCCCTGCCTCCTCTCCTCGACGATCTAATTAACGAGCAAATAAAGTGCACGAATGCACTGCTTTCCAGCAGATGGAGGGGCAGAGGAAGGGTGTAAAACAAGAGGGTAGTTAGGAACAGAAACAGAGGAGGAGGATATTCCGGGGTGCATTTGCGTTGCAAGAAACTTGTTTGCACGCTTTTATAAATAGCTACGGAGGGGGGGAGTAATGGTATTATTCGTGAACGAGAACGGAAGTCGGGGGATGAAAACACGGATGCGACTGTGAATAAGATTCTCCGGACGGAAAGATATTGAAAACGTTTTATCCGAGAGATTGTAAACACGAATTCTGGATGTATTTGTATTTAAGGGATGAAACGCAGGGGTTGATGTTTTCAAGATTTTTGGGTTGTTATATTTTTGAAGGATACAATTACGGGATCGAGAAGAATTCAGCTGGGATATAAACCTGCTCGATTTCAACCCCTCGAAAAGCCACCCCCATTTGAACGAAAACATTCGGGGTTTGTCGTTGATAGAAGGTGGATAAAAAAAGGAACGCGGTAGGGTGAAGAATGAAAGTTTAATTACCTCGAATAGTCGGAGATGAATCTGCGACGTCGTTCGTGAGATCCTCCAACCCTCCGCCGTCACCCTCGCAGTCCATCAACGTGTCCTGAAATTGGAAACTTCTTTTAGAAAGCTCTTTTAAAAGGCACTCGAACAAATTACCGTCGCTTGATTCGATTATCGCTACGTTAGATGCCTCTTTCCTTCTTTAGATAAATTGAGAATCTCGGAAGAATTTTAATTACAAGTCCACCACTAAAAATTAGTTTATCTATCGTTGATATTCATTTCGTGACTTTTTTATTTTTATATTTCTAAACGGGGTTTTTTCAAAAAATTAGAAATTATAAAGCTTTCTAATTTTATTATTGCAGTAGGAATTAAAATTGCAGACTTTTATTATTAATGATCTTTAGAAAAAATTAAAGAACCTCAAAGAACGGTTTAAAGGAAAATTACAAATCTACCCCTAAAAATTCATTTATCTATCGTTGATATTCATTTTATAATTTTCTTATTATTAAATTTCTAAAGGGGGTCGTTTCAAAAAATTAGAAATTATCAAGCTTTCTAATCTTATTATTGCAGTAGGAATTAAAATTGCAGACTTTTATTATTAATGATTTTTAGGAAAAATTAAAGAACCTCGAAGAACGGTTTAAAGGAAAATTACAAATCTACCCCTAAAAATTAATTTATCTATCGTTGATATTCATTTTATAATTTTCTTATTATTAAATTTCTAAAGGGGGTCGTTTCAAAAAATTAGAAATTATCAAGCTTACTAATTTTATTATTGCATTAGGAATTAAAATTGCAGACTTTTATTATTAATGGTTTAAAAAAAAAATTAAAGAGCCCCGGTAACGGTTTAAAGGATCCATGTCACCGTTTAATTCCTTGGATAACGAACGATGGATTTACGGAAAAATCGAGGGTAATTAAACGTTTACGGCGATCCGGTTGCAACATGCAATTCAGTTGCAATCGTTATTGCATGTGAGAAAGTCGTAATTAACGTTGGCCGATTACAGAGGAGCTGGTTAACACGATTGCCACCCTACGGGGACCGGTTCGCCGGAGCTGTCTTTTCGTGCCGTTTCAATTTTCGAACTTATCGAGACCCGTCAACAGGAAATGCCGACCATCTCCTGGAATCTCGTTAACCCTTCTGATGGATACTCCTCGTTTCTTTGAAAAAGAAGATCCAGCTTTTTTTCTACCGACAGTTTCTCTCCTCCCACTTTTATGGCTATATTAAAAATCCTCGTTTGTTATTCGAAATTTTAATGATTTTATGCCCTCTTAAGCATCCACGCCTACCCTTAAATATTTCCTTCCATGACTTTTATGTCCCCCTTTCATGTTTCACGATTTTATCCTTTGCTTCTTCGTTTCATAGCAATTTCACACTTTCTCTCTAGTTTGCATAAGATTTTCACCCGAGACTTTCCTCTAAATAGGAAGGTACCTTTCTCTATCGTAAATATGACAGCGTGAAATTGGGAATGGAGGAAAAAATGGCCAGAAGCCAGAGAGGATCAGCCACCGATGCTTTTCACGTTTATTGCTCGGTGTCTCTGGGTCACTAGGGTGCACACTCATTTTCACGTGCACCCACTACCAACCCCCGGTGGCTGGCAATAAATTTCACGAATTTACCGTCGACCAAGGTCAGCCATAAACTGGCCACTCGGTAGCAGAACGGTCGTTCAAGTGTTTGGAAAATTTTACCCTCCTTCTATCCAGGGAAAGCATAAACGCTTCCCAAAATTTTTCTTTTCCTCAGGAAAAACTGATTTTCAAATCATATCCTTCCATGATTCTTTCAACCCTCAATTCTGGAAAGTATTCATTCAAAATTTTGTAAAATTCATTTATTTACACTATTGTCCCGTCTATTAAAATTGAAATTAAAATTGAAATTTTTAATAATAAAAATAATGTATTTTAAATATTTTCTGATTGGGCTCGAGGAATTTTTCCCCGATGATCTTGAATAAAATATTCCATGATAATAAAGAGAAGAAAGTAGCGAGGTGTATGCATTTTAATCGAGCAAGAAACGCGATTTCGTCCGTTAGTTCACAAAGTAGTTCGGAATATGTAAATCCTCGTGGCGGGGAAACAACTTGCAGGCCGTAATTAAAGAGGATTGCTCGATTTATGCGCGATTAAAACGTAGACGGGAATCGGATCGATCGTACGGTTCGAGAGTCCGCTTCATTGTAATTTGAAAAAAGAAAAAGAGAGAAACCCTCGTGGAGGAAAAATAAAGAACCCCTCAACGAGCAGAGGAAAAAATATATTTTCATTCGCGAAACGAGGCAATAAACGACGATCGAACATGCTCGGAAATGCCGAGGAGCGTGTAAAAAATAATGCACACTTTTGGGGAAATTAATTCGACGATGTAATTCATCACGAGTTATAAATAAAAATTCAAAGAAACTGTAGTATTAAATTATATAATATTCTCTGATATTAAGAATTAACAGGGGTTGTAATATTCAGTCAGAAAATTATTATAAAATAGAAAAATTTTATTATTAATCAAAGGGTTTCATATTCTGGAAGGAAGTAAAAAATTGAATTCAATTTGGGCTCTCTCCATGGTCCGCCGTCCGAGAGATAATAAAATCAAAGGAAATTTTAAAGTCAGAAAATTATTATAAATTAGAAAAATTTTATTATTAATCAAAGGGTTTCATATTCTGGAAGGAAGTAAAAAATTGAATTCAATTTGGGCTCTCTCCATGGTCCGCCGTCCGAGAAATAATAAAATCAAAGGTAATTCTACAGAAAATAAAATAGAAGGTTTCATTTTATACTAAAGGGGTTGCAACCCTTACAGAACCATGTCCAAACATTTAGAAAATTAGAAACAAAATTATTAGTTGAATAAAACTGCCACGTTGTTAAACTAACGGTAATGTAATAACGCGATTACAGCAACGATCGTGTGACAAATAAATTAAAACAGTGGTAGGGCAAACTGTAAGATCACTGATAGCGAACGCACGCAAACGAAAATGCTTGCTCGTGTTGGTTGGTTGATTTCCTTTTTTCACCTTTTTTCAAACGTCGTGTTTTTGCGATGAAAATAAGAGACAACAGGGGAACGTAATAGACCGACGTACCTCGTTAAATAAACGTCTGTAACGAAGTAGAAAATGAACGTACAAGAAGATGGATTAAAGCGCTTAGAACTGACGTATAAAACTGACGCTCTTGTTATCTCATGTTCGACGATAAATAAACACTCGTTAGTTGATTCTTTTTTAATTAAAAAAATTGCGATTTTCATCTATTGGAATAATTAATTATTTTTGCTCGTTAACAAAATAAAATCCTGATCACAGTTTAACCCTCGGACGGCGGACACAATTTTAATTTAATTTAATTTAATTTTGTACTTCGTTTAAAACAATGAATTTTTTAATGAATTTTCAATTAATAATGAAATTTCAACTCTACTATACGAAACGTTTCTATTCCGCGTTAATCCAGAATAATTTACTCGTGAAACGTTAATCGCGAATCAGCCTCGTTATGGCTAGTAACCCCTCATCAAGCTTATCAATTTTAAACGCGCATAAATGCCCGATAAACGCAACTAATTTATCCATAAAACGTTCGCGCAAATTAGTTCCGCTATTTCCCTGTCTGCCATCGATCTAAATTGCAAATCCAAAGGAATTTCAATCACCAGAACGTTCACCCTTAGAAAATTAATGGAAATTAAATTAATTAACCAAGAAATAAAACATCGTTTACTCTGTCAGTGTCGAGATTTATTTATTTATTTGATATTACAAATTAGCTACAATAAATTCTCATTATATTACCGCGGATGGGGTAATCTTTCAAGCTTCCAAACTTTCAGTTCGAGGTGAAGAGGGAGATAAAATTATGCCTCTCTCCCTGGTCCGCCGTCTCGAACCGCTGTCAGAGGATTAAAAAACGCGTTACGTTACTTTCCTTACTTTTTTTAGAAAAAGGATTATTAAGCGTATTCCTTACCATATTTCTATTTCCAATGGCACAGTGAACGCGTTAAATCAGCCTTACTCGTCGAAAGGAATCATCCCCTGTATTTGCTCATCCCCGATTCCCTCTTTATTCGAATTTCTCAACTCTCCGTCGAGAGAGCATTTATTCGTTGCACAACAGGGATTCCGTTAACCATCCCGTTTTATCGGTGGCTGGTGTAAAATCGATTTATAGGATGCAAAACCTGGCTGTCCCGTATCGGTATCATTTACGATACACCAATATATACATATATCGTTTACGAGGCGAACTCCATGTTTTGTTCGCCTCTTTACGGTACCCTGCACATCCGCCCCGTGTAAGAGTATCGATATTTGATATCACTACCTGCCAATAACTGGTCGTTCCAATAAAAACGGGCAGTGAATAAAAATTGTATTAACCGAATCACTGGTACGCGGCAGCTCGTTTCCTGCATTTATTCCTACCGATTAGTCGATTATCGCTTTATTACGAATACCCATTGCGCGGCTTTCCGTTCGTTTCGTTTCGCAGGAATTCGCGTGATTTTAAATAAACACCAGGAACGCCGGATCGAAAGGTAGATTTCAATGAAAATTCCTTCCTTGGAATTGCTACGTTGCGACCAATTGCACGAATCATCCGAGCTTGTTGCAGAGTTTGCAAAAGCTTCAACAACTTCTCCAGCTTCCTCCACAATCTCCTCCCCCTTCGTTGAATCATTCTGGTTCTCCCGGTTCGCATTCCGCCAACGCGGAATCTAAATTTCAAATGGAATCTTATTTCGCGACCGAAAACTTTCCAATTCTCTCTTTTGTTTTCTTTTTTTTATTCACGGTACCTCCTTTGAACTTTGTTTCTTTTCTCCGCGGTTTGTTCCGGAAATTCAATCCCGCTAGAAGATATATAGGTACACGGATATCCTTACCAACTTTTAATTCCATTTATTTCGATATAAATGTCAGAATTCCCCTTAGGAGAATTTAATGATAAAAGTTTCTTAGCTTTTTGATTGATTTTATTGCAAGACGCACCCGGTGCGTCGTCTATTGTGTCATGCATGTATCATAAGACGCATAAGGTGCGTCATTTTAAAGACCAGCATGAAAATTTTAAATCCAAATGTAAATCGTTTTCTCTTTTATGAATAATTCTTGAATAAGCTCGACGAAGAGGTCGGTAATTAAAAGCTTGTATCACTTGAAGTTGTCGCTTTCCAATTAACACGATCCCCCCACTTCCGGTTCCTCGATTCCGTCGAACGTTGAAAGAAGCGAGACGCGAGCTTTTCTTCTTTCCTCCTCTATCCATTCTGCAATTTCCAGCGGGGAACTTTTCATCCGCAATTTTTCCGTATCAAGCAAGCCTCAAAGAGGGGAAAAACATTTTCTTCCGCGGAGCGGTTTTCAACGTTTCAGAAAATGGCGGCCGGAACCCCCTCGAGGGGTAGCGTCGTTGCAATTACATAATTCACCGTCGCATCAGGATCTTGATAAAATACAAAGTGCGATTACACGCCGGCTGCCGCATAAGTTCCTACTGGCTTGATATTACTTTTCACCGTGTATTCTCCTCTTTGAACTTCTCCCTTCCGGCTAGATATACACACGTACAACCAAACCGTGTGTATAGAGACGGCGTCGATCTTTGGTTAGATTGCGGTTTTCTACGTAGTTGAAACTTTAATCGGAATCACAATGACTGTCGGTGGATCGATTTCAATTTTCCGCTGCTTTTCACTCCGTCGAATTGCTTAAATATCTGAATCTCCCAGCCGGAGTGTATTAAGTCCACTTCTTTGAAAAAATTATTTTATTGGTTAAACTTCGTTTTGAAGAACGCGAAATTATTGACCACTTAAGAACTAAAAAATGAAATTCCTAACTTTAGAAACTCGGAGGTTTAAAAGTTATGCGTATTTAAGCATTTCATCATATTAGCATATTATGAGCAGTTCGAGCATTTTTAGCATATTATGCAAGTTAGCACGACGCCATATTGGTTCTATTCGTAATGTGATTGGTCGACCGAGACGGCCTATCAAGATGCTGTCAAAGAAACTAATCTAACCTAAGATTTACAATTTTGGATTTTATACACATCAAAAACTATTCAATGGAAAATAAAAAAATTAATAATTTTATGTCCTTTAAAACTAACAATAAGCTCAGCCAATAACTGCAGACTCTTTTAACCCCTCCTAGTTACGCTACTGGATACTTTATATAATAGTTGCTTGGTTCAAATTTTCTGTTTTGAGACAGAAATAAAAAGGAACAGAGGAGCGGAAGGAAGTTAATGAATCAAAATCCTTGTGGAGGCTGGCGTTAATTGGATTTCCAACGAGAAGAACTTTTCGGTAGTACGCTCTCGACCCCGGAGAACAAAGTGTGTTTGTACTATAAATAGAATGTTGCCGTTTAGCTGGTAATGCTAAAGCATCGATCGTACCGTAGAGGAAATGTCGGTCGACGTGTATCGAGCTTGCTTTGCCCCTAATTAAAACGTTAATGGTACTCGGCGCATACCAATTATAGTCGATGCGTTCCCGTCAACTGTATTAATAGTAATTTCGCGAGTTTAATAATCGTCCCCGTTCGAGAATCAGTGCTTTGAAAACTACCATAATTCTCTTCGAACCATCTCCCATTGAAATATGTATGACCTGCTCTAAAAACGTTGAACTCGTTCCAGATTACACGGAATAGAATTCGTAATTAAAATTTCTAATAGAACAACTATTGCATTTGTAATATTCTGAGAATATTTGCAACGCGCTTATAATTAGAGACCTTTTTAATTAACGATCTTGAAAAAGAAAGTTTTTAAGGTTAGAAAAGTCTTTTTATAATTGAGCTTTTAAGCGAGCAAGCTTTATGGTAAACTGAAAAGTTTGAAGTTTTTAATTGGTACTGAATTTCAAATAACGTTTCCGCCGGTATTCACCGTAGAAACCAGCAATCTGCGTGAAAGCAAACTTGTTTCATCTTTGATAAGACAGCTTAAGAAAATTGCCAGCAAAATTCTATTTCGCTGGTGAAAGGAGTCGAATAAAACTCGGCTATACCGGGAGCTATAGAAACCAACATCGTCCAATGCAAATTTACATACACACGTTCGATAATGCAGTATAGACGATAATGGTCGTTCGGTTCGCGTATTCCTGTTGAATTGAATGCTATACAGCAACGGGAAAGTGTATCAAATTCGATGACGCAAACATAACCTTTGAAGAAATATTTTATGAAAGAGAAATCAATAGCGGGGTAATCTCCTTTATGGAGCATTTGTTTGCAAAAATATTGCACGGAACATGAGTTCTATACACCCTTTGAGCTCTAAATGAATGAAAATTTTCATTCGGGATTATGCAGAGTGAGTTAGAACGCGTTTCCTGTACGGGACCCCATAGACGGGCCACTACACGCTTCGCACAAGGTGTTACTGTATCATGGAATTACTTTCTCATGAGTGTCTTATAATCCTCTTTGTAAGAATTCTTTTAATATCTATCATTTACAAATCCCAACCCGGATAAGACTTAGTAATTTTTGAAGTGTAATTAGTATTTGATATAGCGAATAATGGCGTAAGACGTTAAACGTCAAAATGACGGTCACGTGACGCCCGCCATCAAAGTGTTGAATTTAATTTATCGTTCTTTCAACCGCACGCTGTTCGATGGTTATAGATCAAATGATTTCAGGATCATACCTCGAGATTTGTCTTTCGAGTCTCGTTGAAATTAAAGGCCTCGGGTTAAGATGAATAGAAGATGATTTTAATTGATTAAATATTACATACCGCGGGCAAGTCGTCCTTCATCATATCGCTGGTATCTTTCATGACTCCCGATGGAACCTAGCACCGACAACAATCACTCAACGCCCACGTTTTATCCGTTTCCTTCCTCAGTCTTCTTCAAGTCTAACGAAAAAATCGTCTAAGGGAACGTGAACTTTCCTCATGAAACCGAACCCGACCAACGATCCTTCCCTCTCTCTGTCACGAGCACATTGTTGTTTCGATCCTCGTAAACGCGTGTAGAAGTTGGCTACGTTGGATCGATCGTATCGCAACGTGTCACTCTTCGTCTACCTCTGTTCACTGTGCTCGTTTGACTTGTCCAACGGATTACACGGGCACAAACTTTCGAATTCCAAGTCGAAATTCCGCGATCGTTCCGAATGGTTTTTTTATTCGACTTGGGGGGTGACGATCCGAGCGTGGCGAGCTCAACGGACTCACGAGAGGATCCCGAGTCGATCCATCGGTGTACGCGGCTATGGAAACACTGGCGAGCGGTGTCAGGTAAAGCAGGGAGCAGGTCGACGAACAACCAGCAGGCAGGTCTGCCTCCATGACAGTATAACCATCTCTTTCTATCCTTTGCAACTTTCTCCGTTGCACCAGTTGCTTGCAGCTGCCTTTTCTCCCCACCACGGTTACCAACGTTTCCCCTCTTCCAGATTCCCTGCTGGAACGCGTCAGAGTATCCTCCTCCCTCGCCCAGTCTATCCTCTTCCTTTCTCTCGCATACATGCCCCTCTACTTCTTCGCACTGTATTTTCCTGATGTTTCTCCTCTATGCTTTTTATACTGCTCTCTCTCTGTTTCGCCGTTGTTGGTGTTCTTTCTTTGATAGAGTGGAGTTTCCTCGCTGATCATGGATGTATCTTGTAGGAGTCGGAGGAGCTGGAGAACCGCGGATTTCAAATGGGTTTAGCGGAAGAAATATGAAATTTGTTAGAGTTTGGGTAAGGCCATTATTAACACGACTGTATTCTGAACTTATTACTACTTTAATAATACCATAAATAAAACTACATAGTGTAACGTTATAGAGGAAAAAAGGCATGTAACATAATTAAGTACATGGACGCTCTAGTCCTCGCGGAGTGAGGGCCTCATTTGGGTCGGCATTATAGGTGGCGACACTGCAGTCCTCGACAAAATTGAATAGGTGTTTCGCACTGTTTTCATTGATCAGGATTTATCGATGTAAGATTTGATCGATTATGACTTTATAGACTCCGCAGTAGCCTCTGCATTGCTTTACCTATATCACTTGTATTTGAGTCATAATTTATCTTATAATTTCTTCATTTTAATTCAACTCTCTGGATGATCCAGTTTGATGGGTTATGAGGATGCTGAACGTTTGGAGATAGATTGGTCAGGTGGTAGTTGGATGGTTCATGGATGAACAGAGGAATTTCAGGAATTGAGAAGCAGCTGTTGGCCTGTCATATATTCTCTGTAAATTGAATCGTGGACTTTTAAGACGAGGATTAGAGTGTTCATTAAGAGATTGGTGAACAGAGAATTTAGGCTAATATTTACGACCCGATCCGTCCGGTGTACATTATTGCTCATATCTGTCACTTGCAGATGTTATTGCTTCGATTAATCCTGATAATCTGTCTACTAATATTTCTTATCTCCCTAATTATTTCCAAGATTCTTCCAAACAAAATTTTATTACCATATTTATCTCCCTGCTGAAAGAGTTATACTGAAAATCTTTTAAATAGCCTAAAATTAATATTTGAGTCACGCTTGTTAGATTTTGACGAAAAGGAAGATAGAAAAATGTTGAAACTGTGTCACTATGAGAGAAAAGTGCTTAAAGCGAATTTCGTGCGTAAAAAGGAACATTCTCGCGGCACTACAAAGCGATTCACGCGTTCTGGCGGAGGGCAACGATGCAGACGAACAGCTGCTATTTCACCTGTTCGATATATTATTTAAATGCTTCACCTGCCGCGATGTCAAGATACCGCGAGATAAGCGGCCAAACGTTTCCTGCTTTCACGACGATATCACGCGAGATTTTCGTCGCCGCTTCTTTCTCGAGGAACTTTTTTACTTCGGGGAACAAGCTCGCGAAATTAATCCATCAGGCTTTTCTTCTTGAATTTGAAACTTGGAGGTTTTAAGGGAAGGTTGAGGAAAGAAAATTGAATAAAGTTTAAAAATCTTGGATTTGACAATGCTTGAATAATTAGAGACAAATTATTTGGAGAAAATAATTTAATTAATTACAATATTCCCTCTTACTCTTCCCTCCCTTTGAAACGAGCTCCGTTTCAAAATAAATGTACCGAAGCAATTCGGTTGTTATCATTTTTCAATGAAGTCTTGTAACTTTGACTCTATAAGAAATTCTGTTCTTTCCTTGATGGGATAGTCTTCAGAACACTCAGTCGACCGTCGGTTCCAACTATTATTGGACTGATTTTCTTCATGTACGCTGCGAGCAGATCGGAATCAAGATATCCGACTTTGTGATTTCGGCCGCACTTTTCGAACGTGTCGAATCCATCTCCGCCAGCGACCAAGTAGTCAGGAACCACTATTCTGTACCATTCGTCTTCCACTAAGTTCTCGAACCTCGGCACTTCACAAGCTCGGCACCTGAATAAAGTATTACTTGTATAAGACTGAAACGATTCATAAAATCAAATGGACAAACATTCTTTACCTTATCTTAACATCCAGTGCGTTTCTGGGTAAACCATTCGTATCATAAATTATTTTCAGTCCTGACCATACTAAAATTTTATTCATTTCTAGGGTCTGTAACGAGGAAATTTTTATTGAAATTTTAAAGCGCCTGAAGTATGGCAACGCTCGATACACTTCGATGACAAAGGCAGTCTCTAACAGGGGCAGTATAAATTATTCAAATTGAATGTAATACTAAAATACGTTTTTAATTAATTTAATATATAAACATAGGTTTATATTGGACAGTCTCAGATAGTTTCATTATAAGTTATTTTCAGTTCTGAGCATACTAAAATTCCATTCATTTCTAGTATTTGCAATGAAGAAACTTTTATGAAGATTTTAAGGAAAAGTGCCTGAAGTATGGCAACAATCCATACACCTCGGTAATAAAGGCAATCCCTAACAGGGGCAATGTAAATTATTCAAATTGAATGTAACTCTAATTAAAATACATTTTTAACTAATTTAATATATAAACATAGCTTTATATTGGACAGTTTATAAAAACTAATCATATAATTTGTTACAGATACCTGTTTGATGCAGCTACCATTTAATTCAAGAACATCCCATGTGTTTTCAAAGGGTGAGGATGTTATCAAATCACCTAAAGTGATGTTTCTACCTACAGAATCAATGGAGGCACGAATTCCCCCAGGGTTTGTAACTGCGACAGCAGCGTATGTCCAGAAGGTCTGGTTCTCTGCTTGGTCTACGTACTGCAAACGTTTAAGGTAATGTGATTATATAGAAATTCTATATTTTACAACAATAGAGAGATACTTTTCACGTACAGAATCCACCATAGCATCAACGATCAGATTTCCAAAATTGCACTCCTTTGTGCGACACCTATTATCAAGGAAAACCTTGGAGGGAGCAATTATGATTGATGCTTGAGCGTCTACGCTTTCTTTCCAGGGTTCCAGAGCTTTGACTGTCTCAGGATCTGAATAAAAATTCCATTTTTAATCACCTTCATTGAAAATATCATATTCAATTACCTTGCTCGATCGAGTGACTAAGAAAAATTGGATTTCCAGCCCACTGGACAACCTCCCCTCCTTTATCGAACCACACCGTCAAGTTTCCCACGTACCTAATAACGACACCAATGTAATAATTTATTTAATTCCACAAAGAATATTTATTCCAGATACAAACTTGGTGAACGCTGCTGCTTGGACAATCACCACTTTTCTTTTGGTGAATTCTTGATCCACCACCACAGGGTACACGTCTTCAGGGACGTCGGTGAAAGGAGGTGTTTCTCCTATACATAATAATTCGTAATTGTTAATTCTCAATTAATATTCATTCATTTATTCTTATCTACCTGTGTATAAAAATGTATGCGAGTGTCCTCCGACGATGACGTCGACCAAAGGACAGGAAGCTGCCATCTTCCTGTCCACGTTTAAGCCACAGTGACTTAGGACGATAATAATTTCAATTCCTTGGGACTTTAATTTTCGTGCCTCTTCGTTCACCGTTTCTACCTCGTCCAGAAACCTTAATTTCTCGGTAACGGAGATATTCTGACGATTCGTAAGTTACAATTAAACAGCGTCGGGAAATCACTCGAGTCACTCTTCCGGTCAAACCTCCGGCTATGTAATCTCATCTGCTCAGTAGTTTTCTTAGAGATCGTTTCAATCGTATTAAATTGATTAACAGCCGCGGTAAGAAATTATTTAACGACCCTGTTTGTCGTATTCGTTAGAGAAAAAATTGAATTCGTCGATTACTTGAAAGATTTTTAATTCAATTATCACCGACGGAGGTTTGAACGAAAGTTTTATACAGAAAATTTTATCGCGAATACGAACGGGTGTGTTTTGTACAATAACGCCGATGATTCCGATTTTTCTACCTCCTCTCTCAATGATGGTACTGTTCTTGTAGAGACCCTGAGAAACAACGATATCTGTCGTAATACTTGATAGAAAATTCAATCATGTCCTAGAATACATATAAATTTTATTGAAATTCTAATAACAACCTGCATTGTTGGCTCCTCGGTCGCGTCTATGTTCGTCACCACGATCGGGGCCTTGACCATTTTCATGAAAGGTACGACACCCGCCACTCCATTATCGAATTCATGATTTCCTAATGTCTGCAAGGATTGTCATTCTTTATTAAGTGTAATTTATTAAACGTCAGATAAGATAAACTTATTTGAATAATCGTTCCACAATTCTGAAAGTTCGATAAGATTATCTGTGATTTAATTAACTGATTTATTGTTATATCGTTATCTGTGTAGGTCCCAGAGTGTGAATTTATATATTATCTTTTGCACGTTCTTGAGCAATTCAATTAATTAAAAAAAATTTAGAAAATTAATGATTGAAAAGATATCTGAAATTAATCGAAAATTTTCATTGAAAATTGATTATCATCCTGTTATCATTCCCCTGGTACCAATTACGAAATTAATCGTTCTTTCAGTTGTTTTAAGTTTAATCCATCTCCTCCTACCAATTAATTCACTCCGATCCGGATAGGATCATTATTTTCTTACGCTCTTTATTGGAATCACCGTAATCGATTCAATTAACAGATGATTGCACCGTTCTTCCTGCTTTTTTTCCCTTCGAAATTCGAGACGATCCGTTCGGGTTTTTATCGCTTTCACGCGGAATTCTCGTTAAAGCTTCGTTCAAATAATCGATCGTTAACACTGTGACCCAATTAAACGGATCATACGGTGTACGATCGAGAAGGAACTCGCTGCTATCTTGATTTCGACTTTTTATATTTCGTTTAATCAAATTTACCATGGCGTCGTGCGGTAACAGGTTCATGAAGGTTGCGGTCGC